AGTTATAGGTTTTCCTTCAGACATCAGACAGAAATTTAAAAGCAGGGGTCACCGCAAGATTGAACACTCAGGTCTGCAAGATTTGCCTTTAGCATTTCCTAAACATGTTGCTTGTTCCAGAGCTCTGTTGAGTCATGCAGGCTATACAATCCATGGAGCTAAAGCTGCTGGTGTAGGCACAGTGCTCTGAAAGCTGACCCTCATGCACAGCTCTGAATATCTGATGAAAAGGTCAGAGAATCTGGGTGTTTTCACTCAGATCTGTGGAGTCTTTGTGGAAAAAAAGGTAGCATGAATTCCTTCTCCCATATCCTGCTGCAAAGGCCTCTGGAAACACAAAGAGGCAGTGGCACTACCAGCTGGCAGGTGTGCAGTGGGCTGAATGATGATGAAGTCCAAGATAAAGGAGCTCCTGGGAGTGCAATCCCTGTGAGTCTGCTTCATTCCTATCAGCAGCATTAGCCGTAGCATAGGAAAGAGGCTCCCAATTTGTGATTTAGCTGCTGAGATGGCAGAGAGGATTTAAATTATTTGTTTCAAGCTGAGTTCATTGCTGCCAAGATAACTCCTCTTTACCCATAAAGGAGATTAGAAGATTTCATGGTATGTGCTACACATGAATTGGATAGATAACCTTGGTGGTTAGGGCATCAGGAAGCATTTCTGAGAGCCAAGAATGAGCAACTTTGCATATTATGCTGAAGGACTGTTGTGAAACAGGAAAATATGGCTCTGACCTTACAGTGGAAGACAATTCTGAGTTCATATGATAAATGATAGATTAGGACATCAAAACTGCTGGTGAAGGTGACTATTGAGAAAAGTCATAAACATTGGGTACTAGAGAGCACAAAAGAGAACCATAACCTCTGGTCATTGTCATGGAGGACCTTGATTTGGTTAGCTAGGGCTGGGCCACATAATAGGTGTTTAAATACTAAAGAAGTATTTTAATACAAATGACAGAAGAATGTAAAAAATGACAGAAAAGGTTTTTGATGCTGATGAGTGTCATTGTTGTGAAGAAGATTGGTATTTTTCCTTATCCTTTTCCTTATTTTGGCTTGAATTCTCAGGGAGCCTTAAAAAAAGATAGAGATGCCTGGATCTGTTACTTAGATGGTTCCATGGGAGGTAGGATCAATGGAGAGCTTATCAATAAAGTTAGTGGAGACCAGGGAACTGCTCATCAGTTATCAATTTGGTCAAATATTGGTATGGTTTAAAGGGTGAGCTGAACAGTTCCGTAGATTCTATCAGCTATAATAACTAGATCTCCATAATATATAGTGGCAGTATACATATTAATTTGTATGTTTGTACTTACTTTAGGTACTTTCATTTGCTAAGTAAATTTTTCTCCCAAAAGATTAATAAATATTAAAGCCTTCACTACTATTGTATCATCCACTATCAAGAATACTTTACTCTCCTATGTAAATGCTTTCTTTTGTAAAAGCTCCCAAACCAACATCACAATTTCTCCATCATAAAACATTCTGCTGCTTGCCACTCTGGTTCTGAGATTTCACAACTTAGAGCTCAGAGGGTTTTGACTGAATGCAAACCTTTGCACTGCTGAGTGTCCATAATTATAGATATCTCCATGGTAACCACAGGAGAGAAAGTATAGCTGTATAATCCTTCTTAAGTAATACAATGTTATGTTTTTCTTGGAAGACAAAGAGATTCTAGCTAGTCATAAGCATGTTAAGCAGCCTGTGAATATCAAAGTTGCACATATATTCCTTATCAGCAGAATGGAAATTTTTTTAGCAAAACTGAAATGTGTGTTGATACCTTAGGAATATAAACACAAAATTTTTGGAGCCTCTGTTTTGAGTACATCTGGGCAAACTAACTTCAGATTAATAATTTTGGTAAATTTTCCTTTCTTTTAACCTTACAGTTTAATAAAAAAGTCATAATTAATCTGGCAATCTGGTTGCTTGCCAGAAAAAGGGCTAAATTATTCCCTGACTAATCAAAATGGTATTTACATGATTTTAATGTGCTATATTCCTGTGTGATAGCCTGAACTTGCTCATTTAAATGTTTTAGTACAGTGTAAATGATTCCAGAGCCAACATGAAATTGATGATACTGCTGTATTTTAAGTAGCTTTTTTGTTTTCTCATTTCTTTAATTATTTTTGGTTAGAAAAAATACAGACTATTTTAGGCAATGTTATGACTGACATTTAAAAACCAAAATTATCTGGACACCATTTTTGTTTTATGCTTTCCAGCTTTTGTCCTCTGAATCTGGGTAAAGACTTCAGGAACTGTAAAACAGTTGTCATATTGACAAGAAACAGCAGAAGTTGCACACTTCTGCAAGGAAAATTTAACCCAAGGCACACTTTGGCACTGATACTTAAATAAAACAAGCTTTGTATGACTAATCCATCCAGCATTCAGGGTCTGTAGAGGTATGCATGTGGATAGAAAATAGGTGTACCAGAAGAGACATGAACTTGAAGAATAAAAGCTATTTTGTTGAAAAAGAAAAAATACATTTATAATACAGCCAATTTTTTTCTAAAGGGAAATTATTTTTCCAATTTTCCATGAGTTCTCAGCATATTCCTAATGGGACATAAAAACTGAAGAAGGAATGCAAGCATAGGTTCTGATCCCACAGCATTTTTTCTCCTACTGCTGGCCCACAGAAATTTTGAGTGGAAATCTGCTTTTTTTTCTGTTCTTTGTTTTCCTTCCATCTACGAGACACATTTGGTGTTTTGATGTCCCTCACAATGTCAGAGACTGATTATGCTTACCATAAGCACAATTTCTATTTAAAGAAATAAGATAGTGAGTCTTCAAGTTAGGATTTTTTTACATTACTCTGCATGTTTTTTTCTTGTTTTTTTCTCTCTTCACTCAGCCTTAAGGGGTGGGGGTAGGGAAACAAGATAATTAAATAAATTAACACTGTTTTCCCCAATGATTTCATTATGAATTCAACAAGGATAAGAATGAGGCTCTAGGTCCTGAAGAACTTAATAATGAGAAATCTGTCATAGTAAAACCCTCACTGTAAACAGGGAAAGGTCCAGTGCCAAGTTCTGCAGCCTGCATGTATTGTCCTGTTCCGGGGTACATTCATAACATGCAGTCATGAAACCAGAATAATCTAGTCTGTGCCTTTTGCCAGCAATTTATCTTTGGAAGGAAGAGGCTATTCTGATAAATTAAATATTTCTGTGCCAGACCCAGAGCTAGTTACTTTGCTCTCATTTTGTGTTGTCCTGGCAGTGCCACACTGGGTTTCAGTACGTGAAGTTCACTGGCTCAGTAATTGTGATGACAGACAACAAAATCTACTAAAGTTTAAGGCTATTTAATAATAAATAGCAAGCCTTAAGTAGTTTTAATAATACACTTAGCTATATACTTTTAAATTTTTGGGAACTTTGTGTAGTTCTAGCAGGCTGCACGGGCTGGCTGTCATTAAATTAAAATATCAAAGAAACCTGTGGATCTGGAATTTTGTGTGTAGGAGGGAGTGAGCTGGATGTAATCCAAGTATCATTCTTCAGCAAATACTTAAAGAACTTGTATAAAAGTATCCATGAAGGCTCTCTGCTCTTTTTCTTAGTGGAGTCTAGCTCCTGGAAGAGAAATCAAGTATGGAAAACATACCATTAACATAGGACGGAGGAAGAGACCTTGGAAATAAAGGGCATGTCCATGCCTAGATGCCTTAACCTGCTACAGGATTTCCACATCTACCCAGATACAGAAGAATTGTGGCTATAGGTGTTGTAGCCATCTATGTTGAAATTTGCAATAGATTCCATGTTGTCAGCAGAATAATTGATAGAAATTCCATCCAGACATCCCAGTTTATTCACCTCCTGGCTTGGATTTACCACAGGGTGGGAGGGAAGTTTCCAGTTAAAGTGCCACAAAGCTCAGGCATGTTGTTTGGTGGACAGGAGTGTGTCACTAAAGCCGTGTGGTGTGTGCTTAACCTGTGATGCCCTGGGAGCTGCATCTGGAAAATAACTGGGTTTGTTTGGGTCTTTTCCCATATGCTACACCATCATGTTAGAGATCTGGGGAAGTACTTAAGTGATATTCCTCACAATTTCTAAAGAAAACTCTATTTTTTATGGTTCACTGTAAAATTTTCAGTTGCTGATTAGCCACAATAGCATTTGTTAACATTACAGGTTTGGCACAAAGCCCTCTGTTTTTCCTTATTTAAAAGGTGGTTTGGAAAATAAAATAAAGATTAAACATTCTTTTTTAATTGGGTCACTCTATAATGCTTATTTTTCCTAAACAATTTAAAAGTTTTTAGTGATGTAGGTATATGTACTGTACTATAGAGGATGTATGATTTAACTGTAATAATGAGATTTTCATTTGGGGTTTTTTACTCTGAAGACAGCTAAGAAAAATCTCCGAGCTTCCCAAAACCACTCTTTCCAAAGAAACCACAATGTTACATAGCCCTTTCATCATCCAGCATACAGTACTGTACACACAAAAACATACACTGTACTACTTTAATTCATATTTGCAGGATACACAGTCTGTGTGAGTATGTGCAATTATGAAATGTAAGTTTTTTTTCCTCTTGACATTTTTAGCTGCCTCACCCCTTTTATTTGAACACATACATATGGTGTGTGAGAGTGAGCAAGCTCTCTGTAAATGTTTGGAAGGAGCATCTGTCAGACAATAAAACTTACAAGAAAACATGTTTCTCATTTAAAGAGTATTCACTAGAACTATTTCAGTGTTGGAATCAGTTCATTTGTATAGCTTGGAGGCATTAATAAGAGCAAAGAACTGCAAAGGCACCAGAAAACTCAAACTGTTACTAAGAATCCAAGGTATTTTTAAAAAGCATTTTGTCTTTTCGGCATCTCAGTCTTCTGATAAGGAATCCGAACCAGCTGACAGACAGGAAACCTCTGCTAGTCCATCCAGAGGGATTGCAAACAAGAAGATGGCATGATTTTTGCAAACCTGGAAAGTCTAAAGATTGCAATAATTGTTGGACCAAAGGGACCCTCTTCAGGCATAAATAGCAAGACTCCTACTGTCTTCTCTTGCAGACCAACTCAGCTGCCAGCAAAAGCAGGTGCTCTCCCCCTACCAGTGCTCCAGAGGAATATTTAGTGAGTATTCATGGCTATTTTTACAAACTAATGTATTATCAGTGATTTACTTAAGATTGTATAGTTTTCTCAAAGGACAAAGACATTTAAAAATCAGCTTTATGGCTGTTATTTGAAACAATTGGTGGAGTTCAACAGTCTGACGCAATTACCGTGTTAATTTAAAAACAAAATTTGCACAACCTATGACAGTAACTGCAAAAAAAAAACCCTGATTTTTTAAACTGTGTTTAAACTATCTAAAGGAATTACAATGTTTTGAATTCACATTATGACAGCAAAGTAATTTATATAAATATGAAATCTATTTGACTTTAAATGTTATGCTATAAAACAGCCTTTGTAGAACACAAATTTAAAATAAATCATTTCTTTTGGCAAAGTAACCTGCAATTGAATCTTTAGAAGAATAAATATACCACTAATGTTTTCCACAGAAACAGTTGCTAGTCTAATTAAATCAAGATGTGACTCTAATCAGATTTCAAAAGAAAATAAGAAACAGATTTTTCTCTGAGGTAGTACTATGGACAAGGATAAGATATTTTTATTTTCAGTTTTATTAGAAACACTTGTCCCAGGTAAAGTTACAGGTTTGTAGTATATACCATGGAAATAACAAATCTGAAAGCATTATAGTAATGTTTTCAGAAGCATAGCAATTTTTATTGTTTCAGATATCTGCTTTCTCTTTGGCTATAACTTATGCCACATTACATTTTATTAGGTAACTGCTATTAATTTTTGAGTTTAGAGGGACTAATATGGCTAACACTTTTTTTTTCTTTCTTTTCGTGTGGAAGGGAATGGAAAACCTGATGTTTGTCTACTGGTCCTGTAAAGTTATCTGGACAGTTCTTGTAACAATACTGGGTTATGCCAGCAGCCTGCCTGTGGGGGAGGATGCTCTTTGCACAGCAGAGGAACTTGCTAAGTACAGGATAATCTTCACAGGGAAATGGAGTCAGACTGCTTTCCCCAAGCAGTATCCACTCTACAGGCCTCCAGCACAGTGGTCATCCTTGCTAGGTAAGTGAAGTATGCACAGCACTAAGATCAGATAAGCCTCTTGACCTCTGTGGTCTTTTCTTCCTTAATAGTTATGTAAGATAAGTAATGAAAAAGGGGGGAAAAAAAAGGCCAAAGTTATTAAGAAAGAAATGCAGATATTGAAGTATCCACAATGTTCTCAAAAATCTCCAACTGTTTTCAATTGACTTCTGTTTTCAATTGGCTGCAGCTGAAAGAAGCAGTGATAAGCCAAATGTTTTAGTGTTCACTCAATTTTATACACATTTTTTTAACCTCAGAAATAAAACAGACAAAATGAAGAAATAGGGACATTCTAAATCAGACTTTTATGTCATGCCATGTATTCACTCAAATAGGTGTTACTCATAGTTCTGACTACAGCATGTGGAAAAAAAATGAATATGCCAGCAATGGTGTACGTGATTTTGCTGAAAAGGGTGAAGCATGGGCATTAATGAAAGAAATAGAAGAAGCGGGAGAGAAAATTCAGAGTGTACATGGAATCTTCTCTGCTCCTGCAATTTCCAGTGGTACAGGACAAACCTCAACTGAATTAGAAGTGCATCCAAGACACCCCTTAGTAAGTAAATGTACATACTCATTTCAAAAGTTTATTTTATGTTACCAGCAACCAAAATTAAATATTTGAGTTCTCACTTGTAGAAACAACATAATGAAAAAGAATTACTGAAAAGCATATCACATTGCAGGGAGCACTGTACAGCTTCTATAAAGTAGAAGAGCAAAATGACATTATTTCAAGAACTTTGAGTGAAAATTACTAAAAGCAGGACTGAAGCACTGCAAAGCAAGTGATGCAATCCTGATGGATCATTTTGTTTCATTAGGTTTCGTTTGTTGTACGAATTGTTCCAAGCCCCGACTGGTTTGTGGGTATTGACAGCCTAAATCTCTGTGAAGGAGACCACTGGATGGATGAAGTATCAGTAGATCTATTTCCATATGATGCTGGAACTGACAGTGGATTCACATTTTCTTCCCCAAACTTTGCCACTATTCCACAGGACACAGTTACAGAGGTAGGTGTATGGACATAGTTTAGCACTTCATATCGATATGTTTTGAGTCTTCCCTTTAAAAGATAACTAGTCTAAAATAGTGAAACTGCTTTCAGTATTCGAGAGTGTTGATGCTCTCAGTTATTACATTATTACACAGCTGATTAAACTACTGCTTTTGTTTATCTTCTGTATCTTTGGAATTTATTAGGTAAATGTAAATTGTTCATGAGAATTTGTCTCTACATTTTCTGGAAAAGCTGACAATTTTTGTATATGATATTTAACAATCCTTAAAGTGCCAGGAAAACAAAAATACAAAAGTCCTGACATCACCAAATGTGAATCTAATAGGGAAAATTATTAGTAGTGAATACTGCTGTGAGGAGGAGTTTTCAGTTGAAAGCACTTCTGAAACCTGAAACTGTTACATTTGAGGGAAAGGACCTAAAGGAAAGCAGAGAACTTCATGTGATGACATTACTTTCAATCTTTTTTGCTCATTTCATCCTCTCTATGCCCCATATTTTGCTTTTGCCATTTAAGAGAGGTGGGAAATGAAGGATTTTGATTCAAATATTTTGAATACTATAAATATTCACTTAATCCTTTCTTAAAGATGAGTTTTTCTGGTGACAAATCCTGTGCTAATGAGTAATGAGGAAAGGAAGAGAGAAGCCTTTGGCCTCCCATATCCATATGACAGCTCCTATAGTATACCTAATATTGTTTAATACTCATGTATTCTTCTTGTAATAACATCCAGTTCCTTCTTTTCAAATCTTTTCATACATTACTGTGTTTGCAGGACCTCCTATCACAGTCCTGTATCCAGTCAAGTATCCTGCATTAAAAATTCTGGGATGACCAGCATAGTTATGTGAACTACATGTTCACAGAAACTGTTTGTATGCAAATTATTTGCCGAAAAGTATTAGCATGATTTACAAATATGATTCTATATTTCCCTTCCTAGTTTTTTAATATTCTCCTTTTTATTTCACAGATCACGTGTTCCTCTCCAAGTCACCCAGCAAACTCATTTTATTATCCCAAACTCAAAATTTTGCCACCAATTGCTCAAGTAACAATGGTGAAATTAAAGAAAAGCCAGCTAGGTCTTTCTGCACCTTTTATTAATCTTCCAGCTAAAAGCAATGAAATAATAGACACTGTCTCAGGTAAGTGATTAGTAGATGCTCACAATTCTGTTATTTCCATTCACTCAGAAGTATGTGGAAATCTGGCAGGTGATGTGGATGAAACAGGTGATCAGGCAGAATATTCTCCTATCAGCATAAGGAATAGTTCCAGACTCACAAATAGGAAATAAAACAAGCCAGTTGACATAAAAGAGAATTCCTGAAAGAATAAGTAAGGGATTGCATATTTCAGCTCTGGTTCAAAGGACTGGGCTATATCCAGAGCAAGAGCTACCCAAGCCTTTGTGTCAGTGTAGCTCAGCGAATTTCATAAGAAACAAATGACACTCAATCAGAATCAGCATTCCAAACTCTTTGCAACTTTGAAGTAAATATTCATCCTTAAGATTCATTAATCTTGAATAGATAGAAAGACATGCAAACCACTGACGCAAGTCAATCAGAAGGGTGATTTTCAAATCTCTGAATTAAAATACATATATTATTAACAAAATATTTGCTCCAAGGGACCCATGTATTCCCAAAAGTATTGCCATGTTCCAGGAGCTTCTCCAGAATGTCTGGATATGGCATGTCTCTAGCACTGTGCTGTCACCTTACAACTATTAAAATACAACTCATTCTCTGCTCAGTTAATGTTCTATTTATAATTTAATACATGTACTTATCAATTTATAGTGGTTTAATGTATTTCTATTAGTAAACAATACATATACAAAGTCAATGTTACACACCTCATTTACAGTTATATGCTCTTAAGATTTGAAAAGAGCATTTGGCACTGTTCATGATATAAATTTAAAACTGCATTTGAAGTATAGTATTTCGAAAATAATTTTTAATCACAAATCCCCACTTTCCTACATATGAACCAGTAAATCAGTCTGTTTAAAAACTCATTCCAGAATCAAAAGGGCAGATTTAATTACCAGAGGTCAAGCAGTGTCCCCCACTCCCTCTAGAAACATAGGAATGAGTGATGACAGCAGAAGTGGTGAGTTCACTGTAACACCAGAAATTTATACCAGGTGTCACATGTTTAGTGTGGCATTTAAAGCTGGGCTTGTGCACACCTCTTTTACCCACAAATGCTGTAACAGGCAGTTTTGATGCCACTTCCTGTGACAAGCAGTATTTTAATTTAACCTGCTAAGGAATATTCACCTACTTTTTATGATTTTTACTTTAGATAGAAGTGTACATTATGGATAGTACTTCAGAGTTTCTAACTTCTTTTCTTGCACTGAATGAAAACTACATTGAAATCCTTTCAGCATTAGAAAGCTTCTAGTGACAGAATATCCTTACTGGCAAAGAGAAAAGTAGTGTACACACCAGAAAACAGCAAGATGATAAAAATGATAAAAAATGATAATTGATAGAAATGATAGCAAAATTATAAAAAATTAGACTTTATATCCAAAGCAAATTGGAACAAAAATAAAATGGAGTTCAATATGAACAACTCTAGGAACAATAGCTGCCTGCAAAGAAATATAAATATACCTAAATAAACCAGAGAAAAGCTTTAATCTCAGTGTTTTACTTAGTCATAAAAAGGAAAATGAGTTATAAAAATTGGCAGTAAACGTTTTTTAATTCAATCTTTTAAGTACAAAAATTTTAAGCATAGTTTTCTTTTAAGGAATTCTGTATTTTCATTCAAGACATAATATACTTGAGAACTGATATAATACCTCAGACAGGCTCTAGACTGCAATAACAATAATACCAATAAGTTTAGGAGCTGAAACTGGACTTTTTTTAAAATTTATGAGACAACACACTGATTTGATGGATATTACATGTATTTTGTATAAGAAAGGATTTTGTTTTATGATCATTGCTTAATGCTTTTCCAGCTGTGTATTTGACTCAAGTACAGCTTGAAGTAAAGTTACCTCTTTGGTGTGTGCATTGCAGAAACACCCCTGGACTGCGAGGTTTCACAATGGTCTTCCTGGGGGCTCTGCAGAGGGGTTTGCAGAGAAACAGGGACCAAGATCAGAACTCGTTTTGTACTTCTTCAGCCTGCCAATAATGGAATGCCTTGTCCAAACCTGGATGAAGAAACAGCATGTGAACCAGAAAATTGTGTCTGAAATAAATAAAAGATAATAATTACGATAATTTAAAAGTAGGATAAGTTTAAATCTAAACTACATGTCAATCAATGTTCTTTATAATTTGGATACACTGCACTATTTTGCTGAAAAGTTGCATTAGAGTGGTTTTGAAAGTTTTTATTTAATATCAAGATTTTGGGGGGTTTAATTCCTAAGATTTAGTAGGACAACAGTACTGGATAATTTAAAGAACAAAAACCCCCAAATAAATCCTTCCTCCAAATACACTGTAAGTTCTTGGAGTACCCTCTAGTGGCAGAAAAGAAGACATTTGGAAAGATTGTACTTCACATTTTTACTTCACGTAAAAATATTTCAGTCACAAAGTCTAAACTAATAACCTCCTTAAATATTGTAATTTGTTTATCTACACCTATTTATACCTAGAAAATAGTTTTTTCCTCTAAATTATGTTTTTATAATTTATTGGCATTTTTGTCGTCTTTCTAACCTTGCTTAATGTGCATTTCTTTAGAAACTACTTACAAAAGTCAGAGTGATCAGATGTTTGCAGTGTGGTTAAGACAATAATGGAACTGAGTAAATTTGTCTTGAGACTTTTGAATATATGAAAATGTTTTTTTATTTTTCTCTCTCAAAAGTGAGAAGGATAACTGCCATGAGGACACTCAGCCAACAAAATTACTAGAAAAAAAATCTGGAGTGTGGAGTGTGGATAGTAGTAGAAAACGTCTGAGCTGAATTAAAAATGTTAGCTGGGATACAAAAACTGATTTTTGATGTATGTCCCTCATGAGACAATTTTAATCTCAAAGTTAACACTGTTGACTATAACATAAATTATATCATTAACCTTAAATATGCAGTAAATGTGTCCATGTTTCTTTATATGTGTTTGCTGCTGTTTGTATATATATTACCTAAAATTAAGGTATGCACAACTCTAACAAAACACATGTCCAAAACTGTTCCTGACTGCAAGTTTTATGCTCAAATAACTTATAAAATGAATGTAACATCAGGCTTATGAAGAGCTGTGGCTACCAACTAGGAAAATAATTTTGGAATAATACTTATTCAATAGAATAAGTTTGAAGTCAGCTCAAAACTTTTACAGTACACTACAGTTTTACAAATATACAGCACAGGTATTGAACAGGAAAGTTGATTTGTTAGGTTCTTTCTGGAATATGCCAAATACAAGATAATTTCTCTTGTTTTTAAAGGAGCACACTGTATTCTGCAGAGGGCTGAAACATTTAAACATTTCTATGTATTTCTTTTCCCAGGAAAGACATCTTGCAAAGACACAAATAAATTCAAAACTTTACCAGACTAAACTTCACTGGTCCTGCAAATGCTGATAAATACACAGTTGTTAGAACTAAGTGTAGGAATTTCTGCTCTTCTCTCATTCTTCAGATTCCCACTGTTGTTTGTTGTTCAAAATTGTTCCACTTATTCCTGTTATCATATCTATTTTTTTAAGTTCCCCCTATTTCCACTCTATAATGGGAATAGTGTTACTATACTCTTCTATGTTTAGTTAATTGTTAATATTTTTCATTCTTCTTTTTTATATTAGTTTTAACCATTCTGTGTTTTCTGTTACACTTATTTAATACCTGTTTAAACATTTATCATCATATCAGAAAACATAAGCATACATTGTAGCATATATTTAAATATTCTCAGAGGGTAGGAGCTAATTTCAAATTGATTGTCAAGAGACAAATTAAGCTCAGTAAAGTCTTTGGGCAGATATCACAGGCAATTCTAAATTATGCCTTAGGAAAAACAAACTCAAAACCCACAAGATATCCTTGGAGGTACATTCCTGGAAGTTCTCTATACACTACAGTTTTATTTCTTCACATGCCCAGAATAAATAAAGGCCCAGGCCCAGTAAAAGAATACCTATATTTGCAATAGCATACATGACCTGAAACTGAGATTTCAGTCCTACAAGATTTAATGAGTGGAGGAGTCCCAGTGTTTGCTCAAACTCCTGGAGACAAAAGTTTTCCAAAGGACACTGACGGAGAAAGGATGAGATAAGGACAAGGAGTAGAAAGAAAATATGTAACCAACACACCTCAGAAAACTCCAGTCAGTGATACACAACTTTACTATTTTAGGGTGTTTACTTACATGAATATTTTGCATTCAAAAACAGAAGTCTCCTATCCAGCCAGTTACCTGGATATGGTTTTTTTTTTTGTAAGCTTCAAATTCAGGAGACCTTGGTAAATATATTCTTTAAGGATGCCCGTGTGCCAGTGTATTGCTTGGCCATAAATATAATTCCAGTTATTCCCTTTGAAAGCACAGGGATGGAGCCATTACTTGGCAAGACTGTGGATGCAGTGAATGAAATGCATTCTAGTGATGGAGCACATTTCTCATTGTATTTATCTATTAAACTGATTAGTGCGGTACATTATCTCTGCACAGACACTGCTAGGAATTTGTAGCTCCAGCAGCCTTGGAATTGCCTTAAAAATTTTGGGACCAGGAACAAACACAGAGAAGCTCTTCCTTCCTTTTCCCTTGTATCTTGTGTCACATATGGCTGGCAGATCCTAAATACACAAAATTTAGCGAAGGAAATAGGCAAATTAATTTCTGGGTTAAGCTAATCTCAGAAAGCACTATGGAAAGAAAACTGAAATGGATTTGTAAAGACAATTCCTTTCAAGAATATCTTATAGAAAGAATCAGCTCTGATGCCTTGGCAGATGTACTTGCAGATTGAAAGATGTGGTTAATGGTAAAGTGTAGCAGCAAAAAAGTCACCACAGAATTAAACTGTCGTCCTACAAAAATAATCAACATGAAATCAAATTCCTATAATGGAATAAGCGTGAAAACAAAAGATCTGAGAGTATCTGATGTTATTCAAGGCAAAAAGCTTCATTTAATTATATTCCCAGTCCCAGGTAATTGAAGTACATTGGGAATAACTGATCTGTCATGAATGATCCAACATAATAAAGTAACTCACACTATTTATTCCATGACAATATTTAACACTCCCAAGAAATAAATCTAACACTCGATACAGCAATTCTGATAGCAGCCAGATGTTGTTCAATGGGATTTTTGCAGTATGCAGTTGGATTTTTTACAGAACTCTGAATTGAAAATTGACTGAGACAAAAGCTCTCAGTATGCTGCACAAAGACCTGATTACTTGGAGACTGAATTATTTTTGTTTGCTTGAAGTCCAGCAGCCCTACTATGCCAGTATTTGCCAGCCAAAAGTACAGAAGAAATGTGTCTCTTCCAATGGGTGTGGGCAGAGTGAAGGATAAAGGGGTGTCACCTTGTATATCTTGTGTTCTACCACTGAAACTCAGAACTTTGGAAGCCATAAGAACTCAACAAAAAGCTAAAAAGATGATGGGTTAAGTAGCTCACAACTTAAAGACAAACTTATATTTCCTGCAGGTATGAGTATGCCATGGGAATTTGTGCAGGTGCATGACAGTCAACATCTCCTGTGGTAGAGAGGCAAAAGTGCAGTATTATCATGAGATCATGTATAATCTAAAATTATTTCTGATGCATAAGTGCTGAAGTAGTAAAGGAGTCGTAACATCCCCTTTGACATTCCTAAGGATCCAACAGCCATGAGATGCATTTTTTTTCCCTCTATCTTTTGCCATATGGAGTCAAAGAAGTAATGTGTAAGGAATCAGTTCTCTTCGTCTGACTGCCTTTCAATATGGGGATGCTGATGGGTGATTTTTGGAGGTGAACTAATACTTGTGCTACAACTTCCATGAAGATATTTCATGCTATGAAATGGAGTGAACTAAGTGAACTGTGTAGTGTTACACAGACATTCCTTTATTGAGACAACTCCATAGATGGCAGGTGCAGTGAAGGGCAAGAAACATGAATCAGTCCTCCTTTTGCAGATGTGAAATAATCCAATAGGAGTTATCATCCCCAAAATTTTATTAAGGTTACAGATATTGAAGATGAAGGGCTGTGCACCCTTCCTTGACACAAGAAAAATATGTGCTCTTGTGCAATTGGGGTAACATACATTTTTTTGTGGAAAGATGGGTCCTCCCAACTAGAAATGATCCCACAGGTGGGTCCTCCCTGCTGGAAAAAGACCATTCAGGCCCACCTTTCAGACAGAGTGATATCCATTTATAGGACAAGGAGCATTTGAGTGACAAATGAGTTTGTCATCAAACATACCTATTGGTCTATATGAGTACAAAGAATGAAAATAAGAACCTCAATCATTGTTTGATTGTACTATAACTTTCTTCACAGAATGTATTAGGAAATATCTAAGTCATTCCTATATAAAAAAATCTTATTCTGAAAGTGTTCATGTTGTTATTTTTCCCTGCAATATCATATTCACTAATGTTGTTTGATTATTTAATGGATTATTTGATTATTCAAGTTCTTTTGACTTCTTTATAGGTTTTTCATGTAGAGCCTGTGGGTTTTAATCAGGTGCCTACATTTGTACAATGATTTAGGATGGAAATGAAATGTTTGCTTAATAAAGGAGAGGTGAAGCTCTGGAATAATCACCCAGAATTAAAGGGAAATAATAACTTCATTTAAGTTGAAAATTGAGCAGTTTATGGAAAGTGGGAGCCAATGTAACTGCCTACAGTAATCTAGGGAACTGATCTCAAGCACCTGAGAGTCCCTTTCAGTTTCATGCTCTTCTAAGTGTATAATATAAATTTTAATCTAGATTCTGGGAAAGAAGAAAGTATTTAAAAGGTGTCTTTTCTGTGTTATCTCATTCCCTGGAACATGCTGTAGTTATTTATAAATGAGTAACTACCAGCTGCCTTTTCTCACAGTTTTTTTTTTTCCTCTCAAAAATACTCTGATAAGCAGCAAACAAGGAACAACCACAGGACTACAGGCATTTGTATGTAACTATCTTCAAAAGCCCTACAGCAGGGATATATAAAAACCATGAAAAGCAAATTAATAGGATTCCTTATGAACTTTTGGATTTCTTTTTCATTCGCTTTGTATTTTCATGCGGGAGAAAGAGAAGAGAAATGCATAATTGAAGATATTCCCAGTGACACCTTGGTAGTTGGTAGGTACCTGTCAATGCTTTATGATGATCTAATCCATGCAATAACAAAAATAACTGGAATGTAACAGCAATTTCTGTGATTGATGTATATGGTAAAAAACCAGAAAAGGGCACTCTGAAAATAATTCCCTGCAGCAGGGATTAGGTTTAAAGTCCTCAGCCATTGAGAAATGCAGATTTTCAGCGTGCTTTACTGAGTAAGAAGAGAAAAAGAATGTTTTTTAATTCTACACTGTGGAACTGCTGCTTCCATGTGTGCTTCTGCATGTTCTGACTGATGTACTCATTCATATCAGAATTTCTGTAACACTGTTTTCCCCAGAGTTTTTTTTGATAAGTGCTGGTCTGAAAAGAGACCATTCACGATGTACTAAAGTTTCATTTCTCCTCTGATAAGAGAAGCACATTAAATTAATCTACAAGACTGTAAATGTAAGATTTCAAGGGTATAGTAAAAAATAATACAAATTAATCTTTTTTTTTTTTTAAATAATATGATAAGTGTGAAAGACAATGACTAAAATGTAATTTGAGTACAGCACATTATGCTTTTGGAGGTCTCAGTGTGCCTTCTAGAGGCTAATCTTCCCAAAGCATTAGGAGTAATTAAAAAGTTTTTCTTGTTAATTAACCCTTTTTTGTAGTACTTTAGAACACTTTCTAATGCAGTAAAACTTATTGCATATCACTCTGTTATGAAGTACCCATGAAAAATATTAATCATAAACACATTATATATATATACATATTTCTATTTTTCCTGAAAAATCATCAAAGATGTTTAACATTAAGCTGTGCTTTATTTAACAAATTTATCTCTGGTTTTATTCAGGGAATTACAAAGTACAACGCTGGGACATACAAACACATGACTTTCTTGAATCTGCTCCTGGTTTGGGAATGTTTGTGACTGTCACAATACCTACTGGTGAGGTAAAAATGCTTTATGAATGTTTCTCTATGATTTATGACTTGACTTCTGACACTGGCAAGCAGCACTATCCAGAAATAAAAGATACTTCTGAGGAAGAAGTAAATCTACAGTCTACCAGCTAGTTCAGCATTTAGATGCTGAAAGATAAAAGTAAAAAGAAATTATTATATTTGATAATTATGTGTATGGACAATTTTTGCATTACTATCAGATCTGGGAAACAGTATCAATAAGAAGAATTAGTGACAACTGAGAAAATAAGTTAAATGAAAAATAAAACACCAAAATTCACTAATGAAGCAAAATGGTACAGAATCTTCTTGGGCAGCAGAAAGGAGTGCTGATGATAAACAAAGCCCAAAGTCGAGCTCACCAGGAGGCTGCTCATAGCCCTTATGCAGAGCAGCTGCCTGAGGTCAGAGCTTTTCCAGCAATGGACAACTTATTTCCCTGCCCAGGCAAGGAATCAGTTTTCAGACTTCGAATGCTTTAGAAAGCATTGGCTTTTGTACATTGCCAAATTCTGTAATGTTTTCATGTTCACTGTGAGCTAAGATTGCTTTGTTTTCTCTAAATGTATTCTGAAATTTGGATAAATTTAATGATGTCAACAGCTTAACTGATTCCTTTTTGCATCCAATTCACAGTATTGCTTTTTGATTTTTTTATTGGTAGTTATAAATTATAAACCCAATGCATATATCTAAATTGCAGATACTGTTGTCAAAACTGTATGGGCCACAAGGGACTTTTACTTTTACATCCTACATCTCTGGGGAGCATATCATCTGTTTCCAGTCTAACTCCACAAGATTTGCAGTGATTGCAGGAAGTAAACTGGTAGGTGTATTTCCTAAATAGTCTTTGTTGTAACAATATAAATCATTACCAATAGCAGAGATTTCAAACTGGATTAGAAGTTGGTCTAACTTCTAGCAGATAATTCAATGTTTTTTAGCAATTAAAGAACACAAACATAGAATTATGTAGATAAAAAGATAAAAATACTATTGTCACATTTAAAAAGTCAGCATTCAAGAGGCAGGACTAAGGATAGAGAGATTTAATGTTTGTATTGTGCTTTGAGTGTGAAAGATTCTGATCAATAAGAACAACTATTTTGGATCAAAAAGACAAATATGTAAGATTGACTAACGCAAGCATTTGACATAAAGATATTCCATGCATTCACTAACTTAGATTGGGTTGCCAATGAAAATGCAACAATTTAGTTTTTGAAAGATATTTAAATGAAGAATATGTCAGCATACTTGTTATTGTCTACTACCAGAAAAGTTAGTTTTAATGGAGCTTTAAAAAAAAAGCCATCAGAGGTGATATCATGGCTCTACTGATGATTGCAGCAAAAAATTTATAAATACTGTTTTGAAATTTTATCTATTTGCTGCTTCCAAAAAACAGGAGAGAATTACTTTCTAAAGTGGTTTGGGATTTTTTTCTTCTTAGCTGATGGCAAAACAGCTAAATAACCAGCAAAATATAAACATTTCTAAATGAGTTAAGGTAAGCTAAATCTCATCCTAACTGTGCACTTCAGAAACATGTAGATAACACAGAAATAACAATACTGGAGTAGGATTATTATACTGGAATAACAAAGTGTTCTTACATGCTAAATGATAGAAATTAATGGAAATTTAATCATATACATTGAAAAAGCAATTAGCTCTAATCATTAAAAAAAAATTGTGGAGTTTATAAACTAGGGAGAGAAAGGGGGATAAAGCTTTGGTTGGTCACAGTTAACTATGCACCACGAATGTGATTCTGAGGACGTGCAGGTGATTTTTATCTGGTATAGATGGGCATGTATTATTTTACGTGATATATGCACTATGTTGAGTTCTGACCATCCTATATAAAAGAAGCCAAGAGATGCAGGGAAGTACATAAAAATCCCAAATACTAAATAATGTTCTTTCTTTGAGAACACAGAAATAAAAAAGGAAAATATTGTCCTTTTAAATTATATCTGGAGGAATAAAGATCACAAAAGGAAAAACACTCTTTAGTGAAGGTAAATCTTTAACTGTTCTTTGTAAGAACCATATGGTTATCTGAACTCTTTCAAGCAAAAATAAAGAAATGAATGGAGCACAAGGTTGTGAGATGGATTTCTACCTATACAGTTAGGTAACTTCAAGAAAACTGCAAGAAAATACACTCTTCATTTGTGGCTGATCTCTGAGCAGACCTAGGTTCTATTATGATAATATCAATTTCTAAGTTTTGAAGTTTATTTGTTTGGCTAAAACCTTTTTGTTTTCTCTTAGGTACTAATTGGCTTCTAGGAGAAGTTTCTCCTACTAGTTTTAGTAGAATTTTTCATGCATGCCAAAATAAGTTTCATAACATTGCAAGTTCCAGTCTTCTCTCTTCTTTCTATGGTTCTATTGCTTGGCTGGCTTGAGGCATTTTTGCTACAGATCAAACAACAGCCTGGAGGATATTGGGAGATATCCAAATATCCAACTTGGATAAATAATGTGAAGAGAACAGTTATGTGAGGGAATCTAGAAGAGTATTTGTAAAAAGCCTCCAACAGCACTGTTAAAGATAGTTATTTCTGCAATATCAGGATGAAATGTGAATTATAATGAGCAGTCTTTTTTTTTTTTTAACTATTTTGGACAAAGGCAACATTTTAATGGCAGTTGAATCAATACTAGCATAAAATAATGCCCTAACATTAGTGAAGATTGTAAATTTGTAAAGCTAATTTAAAAATAAAATTAAGAAACCTTTCAAATTTTCCAGCTGATTCTAATTTTAGGAGGGATTTTTACAAGCAATTAAGACTATTTTCCTGCAATGCTCTTAAAGGGAAATTATCAATAGTTTCATTTTTATTCTAAGATATTTGAAAAAGCAGAAGACACAGTAATGAGAACATTTTTTTCTTTTTGCAGCGTATCCACTTGGACATCAGAGTTGGAGAACATTTTTTGGATGAATCTGCTATTCAAGCTAAGGACAAAGTAAATGAAGTTAGTATCAGACTAGAGCATCTAGTGGAGCAAATTCACCACGTAACCAGAGAACAAGACTATGAAAGAGTATGTATGTCCCCTAATGTAAATGCTAAAAATATTGTACATAAGCATATTGATTTATAAAGTATTATGAGGTTTATTATCCAATTTCAGGGGTGTTTTTAACTAACTCATAAAAATGTATAGATATTTAACCAAAATAGTCTCCATTACCTTGCAAAATATTTTTAAGTGGTTACATAAAACTAATTAATCACTGTGGGCTCGGGCTTGTAGCAACAGGTTATTTTAAAGCAGGATTTTCCAAGCAGAGTTTTCTTGGTCAGACTCAGCCACAGCAGCCCAGCAGGTAGCAGGTGCCATTGTGGGTGATGCTGTTGTTTCCATGCTGCCCTGTGTGCACAAACTCCATTGAGTGGGGAAGGAAATGACTGAGTGAATATTTATATCCCCATGAATGTATACTTATATATCCCTTCTTCAAACAAGTGTACACACAGTCGCTTTTCTATATGCACGCAGATAGACAGTGTTTGAAGTGTTAGTAACTCAAAACCAGAAATTTGGAAGCAAAAGGGCTCTTGACAGCAAATTATATAAACCTAAACAGGTTAAAATCTGTACTGATTGAGTATGTTTGGCACAATATATGTCAGCAAGGGAAGCTCTGCCTTCCTGCTTCAGGATGCAGTGTGCCTGCTTCTCAGTTTTGATTTGTGAAGATATCTACCACACAGATAAGCACAAACCTTCATTTTTATCCACGTGGAAAAATGCTTTTGTTCACCACTATGCAGAAGAGGGATGCCTTTCTAGTTACCATAAAACATACAGATGCCAAAAGGTAATAATGATGCTTTTCCTTTATTCTCTAGGAGCGCGAAGAAAAATTTCGGAAAACAAGCGAAGAAACCAACAGCAATATTTTGTGGTGGGCTATAGTACAAACACTAATCCTCATCTCTGTTGGAATCTGGCAAATCAAATCTCTCAGAGATTTCTTTATATCTAAGAAGCTTGTTTAAGTTCTATAAAGTCAACGCACAGATTCAAAAATTGCACACCATGTAACACTGAACATCCAAAGAAACCCTGCACCTATGAGAAAATTGCTTGTATGGAACTCTCAGCTTTCTCTCATTTTCTGTTCTAACTCTGGTGTCTCCAGCTAGGTCACAACCTCTGCCATCCCTCACGTTTTGGTCCTTGAATCCCATCTTTTACTATTTCCCCCCATCTACAGATATAAAGCTAAATATAGAAGAAGTCAGCGATAAAGGCAGCATTTAAGTTCAGTACTTAATGAAGAATGTTTATTTTAGGTTAAATCCAAAATAAAGTTTCTAAGATTTTAAATTACTCTGCTTGCTGAGTAATCTTTTGGCACTACCATGAACAGTTCAGCACTTCAGACTGACTAGAATTCAGATAGTAAACAGAGAAATAATTACATCCCCTGCAGTGTTTAATTGGGTGCAAGTGTCTTGAACTCAATCTATATATGTGTAATACCTAAATATAATTGTGAATGCTTTCTTGTAAAATATTCAGAGTTTGAACTGATCAGTGGTGGCAGCAATTATCATAGAAGACAAAGACCCAGACAAGCAATTTGGAATTAAACTTACTTTTTCTTCCAGAAAAGCCCTTAACATTAGGCTATAGAAGTGATGATGATCTGGTGCCTCCCACAGTTAAGTAAATTATAATCTTTATGAAGTATAACAAAGTAACTGAAATTATTGGGTTTCTTGGTAAACAATGCCAATTTTATTTTAATTCATTCCTGCACTAAATGTTTCTGTGTTGAGAATTTTCATGATTTTAATTATTTAGCAACTTTAATATGACTGCCTACAGAAACTACCTGTTTTTTACTTAATTTTCCATTTTACTTATTGCAGCTTGGTTGCATATATCTTTTATGCCCTAATTTAGCTAATTTGTGTACAAATAGCAGTGTAACTACAGTATCCTACAAGTCAAAGGCTGTGGTTAAAAATCCAGGTAATCAGCTTGACAAAGCAGCAGTAGTAGAAGGAAGGAGTTAGAGGTGATTACATACAAAGACATGGAAGTTGAAGTTTCTAGAGCACTGTGACAGCAGAATATTGTGGTTTGTTTTCCTACACATCTTTTCAGACACTTTGCGGGTTTAAAAGGTAGTGAAAGGTGAAATATCTGTAGACCAATTATTGTTCTAAAGCCCTTGCTTTCTTTCTTTTTTTCTATCTTTCCACCTGTTGTTTTCTTGAGCAAGGAAATGACATTTTCCTTTAAGTCTACTTATATTTCCAGCATGGGAATTAAAAGACAGCTGGTAGTATGTGAGAATCAATAAAATTGATAAAAAGGAGAGACAAAAAGCAATGTTCCAGGGACAAAATCAATCCAAATAAAATCTCATAAAGCTACTCACTGCACTGTGTCCTATATTTAAAAATTTGGATACTTCAGAGTGCCACTTGGAATGACCAGTAAGTGTTATTAAATTAACTTCTATAGAGCACTCACAACATGCCTTGTAATAACATCTCTGGTGGTGGGTAAGAAGGAAATATGTGTTAAAGCCATATGGTATATGAAGTCCAAGAAGAAAGTAATAAAGTGTTGTGACAAGGTTGTGGTTCAGACTTTAGCTGATATTTAGTGTAAGGCTCCTAATCACATCCCAATAACATAACTCATTTCACTTACAATACACTCCAGCTGGTAATCCAGGACAAGCAACATTGCAGAATTCATCAAAGAGCTGATCATGTTTCACCATATTAATTAGGTCTATACTCAAAGAGTACAGACTCAACACTGAGACTTGGGCGTCTTGAATGTAACTTGTGATTGCTTAATTCTTTACTACTACTAATGGTACTATTATTATTAATCATCATCATCATCATAATCATCATATCAACATAATAATCTTTGCTTTTAGGAAATGTTTTCAGTCTTCTTAAAGATTTTTAATTAATTCCATAAAGCAGAAGCTGACTCACAGCTCTTTTGGGAAGCACTTTGGGGACAGAAGCCTTTGTGAAGTTAAAAGCTTCCTCTGCAGTGCGTGGCTCTGTCATACCCAGAGCTACAGCCTGCACTGCAACAAAGTCTGTAAGGGACTTTCTGCCTAAAATTTTCATCACGGGGCACTAGCAAGCGATGGGGCCTTTTTTTTTTTTTTTTTTTTTTTGTCTAAGCAATGAACATCAAATCTCCTTGCTTTGCTCTTTTTCCGCAACAGAAAATGCCATAGCAAACCTGTGATAGCGAATTAACAAACCTCCTGGATTCTTGCATTTAAAAGAGTGAAATCCACAATTATTTTCTCTGGGGTTTTGGGTTTTTTTTGTTGGTTTGGTTTTTGGTTTGGTTTGGTTTTTGGTTTTGGTTTTTTTTTTTTCATCGGCCGACCCGGGAGGAGCGAGCAGGGCGGGGCTGCTGCTGAAGGCCCAGCCCGAAGGCCTGTGCGTGCCGTTGTGTTTCCCACGTTCGAGGCCGGGAGGGCCAATCTCTCAGAGCACCGTCTGCGTCAGCACCGGTCCAGCTGGGTAGCGAGAGGCCACAAAAAACAAATTTTATTGGGGCGTGTGTGAAGACCAAGCTCTGTCGCCTTGAGGCCCCGCGGCGGGAGGGCCGCGGGCCTCGCTACCCTCAGGGCCGCCGCAGCGGGCGGGACATGGCGGGTACGTACCCGCGGGGCTCGGCCTGAGGACGAGCGGCTGTGCCCCAGCCCCGGGCCGCCGCCGGGCCGTCCTGCCCCGCTGCGCCATGGCCGTGCTCGTCTTCTGCAACTCCTGCCTGAGCGAGCCCCGCACCCCCGCGCCGCGGTTCTTCCTCACCAGCTGCGGCCACGTTTTCTGCGATGTTTGCCTGCAGAAAGGTAATGGCTGTGCTGCGTGCACGCATTCACCTCAGACGTTGGTATTTCTCACCCGCTGTGGAAAAAATCAAAGCCTTGAGCACTTCTTCGAATGTTACTGATCAGGCTTTCCAGTCCTTGCTGTTGATACGCTTTGAACAGTGCTTGCGTGTGTCCACCCCCGGGTGGATGTGGGTTTGAGAGCAAGCCTGGGGCACACGCAATGGAGGCTTTAATAAAACTGGATTCTGGATGCTTATGATCCATAATTTTGTAAAAAACAACAACAACAAAAAAACCCAAAAAAAACCCCCAAAAAACCGAACAACAACCAAAAAACCAAAACAAAAAAACCACAATCAAGCAAACAAAAAAACCACACCAAAAACACTAAAAAAACCCCCACCACAAATAGATGTTATTCTGTTCTGACAAATTTGGGGAAGATAATGATTTTTCCTTAGTGAAAGAGCAATTGAAAAAATGGAGGATTTAGGGTAGGTTTTGGAAGTAGTTTTAATAGGTTTTGAGGCTCAGTATTGTTCCTGAAGACCTTCAGCAGCATGAGTAAAGATTTGAGGTGATGTTTGAAGTTCTTGTGTTATGTACAGTTCCAGAGTCATATTCTGGCACTCAATTGATGCTCTTGGACAAAGATATGTGGGAAAGGCAGAGGAATAATGGAGTTGTTTTACAAAAGGAAAAAAAATGCAGTGAACAAATATTCAAATATCAATCTTTCACATCATGCTAAATGTCCTGGTGTCTGTAAGGGCACACAGAAGAAATGATCAATCTGTATTTCAGATCTAAAAACTTTTGACTAGATGTTTTCACAGGGCTGCTATTGAGGGTAGAGGATCATAAAATGCAGCCTCTGCAGCTTGCAGGCCCCTAGAACATGAACAGCATCTTTCCTTTTGGCTCTTAATGTTGTTTGGCAGAAAAACATGTGAGATTATGTATCTTTTTTTGGTGAATTCAGTAGTACTGAGGTTTAAAATGTATTTAAAGATGTTTATAGACACTGATCCTTAGAATCTTCAGAAAGGCAGTAGCTAGTAGAATTGCCAGTTGTAAATATTGAAATAATGTGTAGTTGCTATAGATACTTTTTAATATGTTTGTAGATAAAGAGTTTAAAAGTAATGAAGTTTTTAAAAACGGTTTTATTGTTTTCTCTTGGAGGAATTCAAAAGGTAAAATTATTAATTCCTTGACATTTGAGTTTCATTTATTTTGTTGGGACAACACAACTGTGCCCCAGTCTAAAAAGCCATATATCAGATTGGCTGTAAGTCATTAGTGCATTTAAGCATACATTTAATTAAACCAGGCAAGTAGTCCCATTTAAATCAAGGGAACTAAAAGTCACCTGCATTATGTGACACTAATGATATTCATAAAATCACTTACATGAATGCTTATTTACAGGAGTAAGACCTGATGACATTCACATACATTTTTCCTGCACAACTCAGTGTAATGGTTATGGCATCAAATTCTTTATTCATGTTTATTCATATTTCTTGTGTAACCTGCAGATTTCTTCCACAAGCTCCAGAGGTTTAGGCATCACATTATATTTACAATGTATTCAATATATATTCAGTTTGATTTATATTTTAAATGTGTCTTTACCTTACAGGCAAAAAAGATGAATGTTTGGTCTGCAGGAGGGCTTGTCGTACTGTAGTCCTTTCAAAAGAGGTAAATCAAGCTTTAGTTTGGTTGCATTACATTAATCTGTGGTTTGCTTAACAGCTAAACTATTTGCATTAGAAAATGCTTCCTTTTTTGTTTTTGCCAACTGTGACATGAATATTTACTGATAATAGGTTGCTAAACTAGGATACTTAGGCACAGACAGCTCTGCTTTTTCTTGTAAATATTTAATTAAATTAAAGCCTCTGGAAATCTTAGGTTTTCAAGTGCTGCTAGACTGTAAATCATTCTAAACTTTTCAAGAAATACAGTTGGTTACTGTGTAACATCAGTGACTAATTTCAAAATATGGAAAAATGTTTATTGATTTTGGCCTTTGCACATCACAGAAAATGAACTGTCATGAGTTACTTCATGTGATGGACTGAATTGAAAACCTGCATGATAGCTCGGCAGTGTTTTCAAGTGGATTAGGTTTTTTCCCTCTGTTTTCTCTTAAGCTTTACTATTTTCCTTGTGGCTGTGTGATTAAGAAAGGGTTTGAAATATTTTTGGGAATTTTTCATATTCACTGGAGAATTAAGAGCTTTTAATTCCCTTTCTTGGTTAATCATTAGGAATCTTTAATTTTGCATTTCTCCCAGGAGCAATCTTCTCTTTAGCTGATTCCATAAATAGGTTCCATAAACATTCATATTTTTGTAGACTGATGCCTACCTAAGAGACAGTGCCTTATAAGGATAAAAGAGAAACACTAAAAACATTTAATAAAATTCAATACAGCTGAACATGAAGGCCTCCTAGGAATCTTGCACATTGAAAAAGACAATGTTACTAAAAAAAGTTGCAGCAAAACAACAAAATGCAATTATAATATAAAGGAACGATGCACACAGTAATCAA